CAGTGTATCAGATGTTTTATATCTGTGAGATTGGGGAAATAAATGAAAGTCATCAATGCTATCTTTGTCACAGTTTAAAAAATTACTTTGTGGTTGTAGGGGTCCAACTCAGGACCTCATCTTGCCAAGCAGACAGTCTACCACTAACTACCCCAGTTTTATTTTTAATACTGTGTTTGGACCAATGATAGACCTTCAGAAGGAATCCCCATGCTTTGAAATCCTTTTCTCTATAGTTAAGAACCAGTCCTAGCACAGTGAAAATTATCAGGAAGTAGAAATCAAGGGCATGGTGGCACATACCTTTAATCCCAGCAGTCAGGAGGCAGAGGCAAGTGGATCTTTGTGAGATCAAGGCCAGCCTGATCTACATAGCAAGTTCCAGGCCAGCTGGGGCTATAGAGAGACTGTCTTGAAACAACAACCAATCAAGCAAGTAACTCCCCCCCCCCCCCAAAAAAAACCCCCAAAAAAAAGAAAAAGGCGAGACAAAACAAAAAGAAAAAACTTTTCGGGGGGAGAGAGAGAAAGAACATATAAAACAAAAACCCCCCCCCCCCCCAAAAAAAAACCCCATAAAAACGGAAAACGGCAGCAACAACAAAAATGGAAATCTATGTTGGGAGATAGAGAAAGGAGAAATTTTGTGGGTTGAAAGTGTAGCTAACATGAAAGTAGATATATAGATGGAAAGGCCATCACACATTGTACCCCAAGGGACGATACAGGCCTTTGAAAGAATACTAACCTCTAAATAGGAGAAAAACCCTTCCTGAAAATGGATTGGCGCTTTTCAATATGGTCTTTTTCTCAAATGACCTACGAGAAAAAATGTCCAGTACTGCTGTCCTCTGGGCTTTCTGCACTGACAGAGGTACCCCTCACATGCAATGTCTGACAAGTGGCTGACAACCACATGTGGCTGCTGAACACTTGAGTGTGGCTTGTGAAAGTAGGAGCGAAATTGAAATTTTATTTACTTTCAATGATTTCAAATAGCGCCATGTGGCTGCTTGCTCAGGCAGCACAATTGTAGCCCATCAGCAATGTCCAAGCATACTAATTAGGAATAAAATGTGGTTTTGGCCAGAGAGTTCCGGAAGGGCACCATTTGGTCCAGGAGGCAACTCTGAAACTGACTTGTGATGAACTGATGTGCTGGTGTTGGTAATTTGGAGGCATTTCCTGATTCCTTTATCTGGGTGCTTGTCAGTTGGACGAATGCCTTCCCCAACAACAAGCTTTGGCCCCAAGGGGCTTTCCTCTTTCCAAGTTGGCTGCTTGAGCCTGGGTTGGGGGCAGGGAGATGGCTGCCCATGGGGTATGTTTGAGGCTTTCAGTTTGAGTTGAAGTTCAGCAGTGAGTCCTTTATCTTCTGTGTGTGCACCTATCAGCATGTGGACCCCATCCCCTCTCTTGATAGTGCTGTCACCTTGGTAACTGAGTGGCCTCTTTATGGGTTGGGGTGAGGGTGGTGATACGCTGTTTTCCAGCTGCTAGACATTTCTTTAGATACATACTTAACTCCCTCCAGAATCTTGGTCAGTTCTTTTTAGGTCTTTTGGAGGTAGAGGAGAGAGGAGAGGTTGACAGAAGATGCAAGGCAAGCGATAGAGCATCAAAATAATCTTTGGTATTTAGCAGGCTTTACCCTAGGAGTTCATACTTAGCTAGGTGTGTTGGACATTTATGGAAGAATTTTCTTTGGGATGATATTTTCCCATCCAGATGGTTGAAGTACAGGAAATACTTTGCTCTTGAAAGGTGTTTTAAATTCACCTGTTTCTTTGCTAGGCTTCTAGTCTATTCTTGTGATATAAAAAGTTGTATGTCTCTTTCCCTCAAACACATGCACTTATGAACTCTCCTGTAGCTCACATCTCAAGCTTCATATTTTGGGTTAAATGGAAATTATTAAAATTCAGTGTACTTTTGGGGGGCTACTTTTAAAATGTGGCTAGTAGAACGTAAACAGTTACCTATTTGTGACTTCTACTTGTGGCCTCTTGACCTTGTGAACTAAGCATAGGAAATGCAGACATTGAGCAAGGGAGGGCTTCAAAATGCAGTTTTAAAAACAAAAAATGGCATGTTGCAGCTGCGACTTGGGAAAGTGGGCATTCACATGGTCTTGATCAAATTAAAAAAATGACCAAAATAATTTAATTAGGTTAGCTCAAATCAGAAGTATTAACTATAGCTCCCAGATGGATTCTTGGCACAGTTGCTGTAGGTCTAGAGGTCAGAAAAGAGGCAAGAAGGCGTTGGTGGTGGCCTGAGTGCCAGCAGTCACTGTGGATAGATTGTAAAGCCACGGGGTTTGAACTCCTTTTGCCTGGGGCTCACCTGAGTGTGGTCACAGCTGTGGTGGGTGACATGCTTACTTGATACCATGTAATGCTGGCGATTTTCATGCCCCTGGGAATGGAGTCTTAATGGGAATGAGTAGGGAACTGGAAGGAGAGGAACAAAGCCAAGTGTTGGATACAATTACTCTCACTGAGGGCTCTGTTTTGTCTCTTTGCCTATAGCAACTTCTTTTCCCCCTTCTGCTGGGCCCTGAGCAGATAAAAAGCAAGTGCCTTTTCCACTACTGCTGCTCTCTAAGCTGGCTCTGCCCTGACCCTGGCTCAATGGACTTGCAAGAGAAGGCACCAGGGGCCTTCTGTGTTCCCTTTCCCTGAGGGTAGAGGGGGACAAGGTCCATCCAGGCAGTGGCATTTCCCTCCATGACACTTGGGGAACCCTAGAGGATGAAGCTGTTAGGTTAGAAAACAAGGCCTTCCTGGACATTTAAGTAACATTTTTTAAGGCTAATATGAAAGGTGATATGGTAAGTGGTCTGTGTGGCTGGTTTAAGCCATTATCAAGTCCACTCCAGTATTTATTTTCTTGAAAGTTAGAGTGAGCCTTGAATAAGTGAAGACTGACTGTTTAAGCTTTTAAGGCACAAATCCAATTTATAAATATTTGTTGCATTTGACACTGGTGATTTCTACTCCTTACTCTGGGTTTTGAGTAGTTTTGCAGAAAAGCAGCATGTTTTCAGCAAAGTGGCTTTCATGCATACCTGGTTCTCTCCTGTCTGACCTCTGTATTTGGAGAAAGTAGATCAGAAAATTTATGCCAGTTAGTGGCAGAGTGAGGAGACCTTTGACGTTAGCTGACAGCTGTCACCTGAAAGCTAGGGACCTGGAGACCCTCTCAGGTGTCACGCCTGTAGTCCTGACAGTGAGCAGGAATGTTGTTTACATTTTCTGTAAGCAAAGTCTCCCCTTGTTAGAATATGTTAGAGTGGGGCAGGTAGAAATGGAACTTTATCTGCCTTATGGGGTAACTCCACCGCAGACTTGTTTATTACCATATCCTTGAAGAAGTCTACAGTAGAGTTTATGACTGAGTCTGTTTAGAGCATCACTCTGGAAATTCTTCATGATTTTTTTTTTCAAGTAGGTCAGTATCACATAATCTTAATGTGCTTATAAGAGGGAAAATGAGTTAAATTCCAAAGATGTCTAAGATTTCAAGCATTTTTCATATGTGAATTAGCTCTTTATTAGGTTGCTGGTTTAATAAGCAGTGAACAAAAACACTTTCCTGTTTTGGTTGTTGAAGTATTCTTCAAATCAAATTGGCTATTTTAGTCTGACCCCAAATCTATCAGAGTTTGTAGAGAACTGGGTAACCGTGCTGTGTGCTGTTTGCACAAGATGTAGAGGGCTGCGCCTCTTCAGCCCTCTTGCTTCCGCTGTGTCCCGCTTTGTCTTATAAGGTGTGGAAGAGGTCTGTGTGGATATTTTGAACTTTATTCTGTTAAGTAATACTCAGTTTTGATTAGTCTGTGGAGAGGTCTCTGTCTAAAGAACAATCATTGTCCACCAGCTAATTTCCCTGAGCAATCACTTGGGGTCTTGATCCCTCACCAGAGCCCTAGTGTCTGCTGGTGAATATACGAACCTGGGCCTGAGGCCTGCTGCCACATCATAGGTCTGGAGCATGGTGGGCCCACAGCCATGAATGAAATTGGTCCTCTTGGAGAATGAAAGCTTTTCTTACGGTCTCTTTCTTAATGTTGCCTATTCGTGCTATTAAGCATAATGAAATTATGAATTTATTGTGCTGTTCTCAAGCCTGCTTTTCGGCCTCATTATGGGTGCTTTCTTGTTAGATGCCTCTGTTGCTGTTACATAGTTGTATGTGGGCTGTAAATATCTAATTTGTGCAAAATGACTGATTTTGATATTTGTATAATCCTCTAGTCAATTTAACTAAGTTGGGCTTTTCGCAGCCCTTGGTGCTGCGCTCATCTGATTACACTGCTCAGGGGAGTGAGGTTAAGGGCGGCTGTTGGTAACCAGAGCATTTCCAGGGCTTTAGTTCAGCAGATGGGCTGCTTGGCTATATTCATACATCTGCTTGCCTGCTGTGGCAGCTGCTGCTGCTTCATGTTGTGTTCTTTTGTTCTGTTCCATCCAAGAATGGAACGCTAGGAAGTGTAGTGAATGGATTAATTTAAGGTTAAGGTTAGTGTTTTGCTTGCCTTCTAAGTAACTGATCATAATAATGCTTCTGGTAGAACTAATGAGTTTCTCTTAAAGTGAACTAGATTTATAAAACACAGCCCAGTGAGGGGGCTAGATTAGTATTGTTGATGGAAACCAAATTCAAGTGTGTAAAATACTGGCAGT